ACACTTTTTCAGGATGTGTCAAGCGAAACCAATAATTTTGGGAGGCAGACTCAAACGAAACGAGCAATGTTCTTATTATTCTTCTACTTTCCTCTTCTTCTTTTATATTTATATCTGTCCTCACGCTCGCCTGAACTTTTTTATCCCTGGGGTTGATTATCCATGGAAAATGAAGCACATGAGCTACCCTACACGAGCACTTAAAACATCAATTTTCATAAAGCGCTTGTAAATTAAAATTGATAGATTTGGAACTTTGGATGTTTCCTTTCTTCGTCCTTTTCTTATTCTCCACTTATTCTTCTTTCTTATTATTCTTCTACTGTATTATTCTTCTGTTATATTTCTCTCTGTCCCCACGCTCGCCTGAACTTTTTTATTTCTGGGGTTGATTATCCATGGAAATTGAGGCACATGAGCTACCCTACACGAGCACTTACAAAAACAGTTTTCATGAGAGATAAGCCATTGTTGAGGATATTTCTATGAAAACTAAACGCAAAGGATGTCTCAAAACGTGCTCGGCTTGGTCTCCTCTTGATCATCTCTTACTCTGAGATTATGCTGAGGTCTGCTGGGCTACTTTTATTATCTCTCCCTGAACCCCGAACTTGATTATCCCCTAGTGTTTATTCTCACGGGCATGAGGTTACGTTCCGTGGCCCCGCAGGGAGCTCCACCGAAGGCCCCAGTGCCACCGCCCGCATGCGTCACGCAGACCCGTGTCGGCACACCCCTTCACACGTTTCGTGGCCCCAAAGGGAGCTCCACCGAAGGCCCCAGTGCCACCGCCCGCATGCGCCACGCAGACCCATGTCGGCACACCCCTTCACACGTTTCGTGGCCCCAAAGGGAGCTCCACCGAAGGCCCCAGTGCCATTGCCCGCATGCGTCACGCACACCCATGTCGGCACACCCCTCACACGTTTCGTCGCCCCACAGGGAGCTCCACCGAAGGCCCCATAGGGAGCTCCACCGAAGGCGCCAGTGGCTGCGTTCGCATGCGCCCTCCGCACACATTTCGGCACACCTATCACACGCTTCGCGCACCATAGGGAGCTCCACCGACGGCCCGAATGGCTGCGTTCGCAAGCGTCACGCACACCCATTGCGGCACACGCCTCACATGTTTCGTGGCCCCATAAGAAATTCCACCGTCGGCCCCAGTGGCTGCTTTCGCATGCGTCACCGGACCCATTTCGGCAAACCCCTCACACGTTTCGTGGCATTATTGGGAGCTCCTTCGAATGCGGTGCATACAAAGACGGTGCTCACAACTGCATATGGTTGGGTCCTTTGCCAGGCTAGTTTTTTTTATACTTTCTCTCTCTCTCTCTCTCGTTCTCTCTTTCTCTCTTTCTCTCTCTCTCTCTCTCTCTCTTTCGTGTTCTCTCTTTAGCATTCATGCACACACAGACTTGTTCCCCAAGCATCCTGTGTTGAGTGGGGTCCTCGTCTTGACTCCGCAGCGCCCCGCGTCACACCTTCCTTAATCCAGCCCCCTCCGTCCCCTTCCATCCCTGTCTCTGCCTTCTTTCGAGTCACCCCTCCCACGTAGCGTGTCCCATGGGAGCTCCACTGAAGGCCCAAGCTGCAAGGTCTTCACGGCGGCCCGACATTCATGTCGGCCCTCACGCGCTTCGTGGCCCCGGAGGGAGCTCCACCGAAGGCCCCAGCGGCAGGGTTCGCATGGCAGGCCCTCGCCCGTTTCGGCAGACCGCTCGCACGTTGCGTGGCTCCACAGGGAGCCCTGCCGATGGCCCTAGCGGCAGGGTCCGCATGGCGGCACCGGACCAATTTCAGTACAGCCCTCACACTTTTCGTGGCGCCGTAGGGAGCTCTACCGAATGTCTCAACGGCAGGGTCCGCATGCAAGCCCCGCACCCATCTCGGCACACCGCTCACACGTTTCGTGGCCCCACTGGGAGCTCCACCGAAAGCTGCAGTGGCAGGGCCCGCATGGCGCCCCCGCCCCCGTTTCGGCACACCCCTCACACGTTTCGTGGCCCCGCAGGAAGGGGCTTACCTCGGCGGAGCAACTGGACCGATGCCGCGGAGCAACTGAAACCAAGCGGCGGAGCAACTGACACCAAGCGGAGGAGCGGCGGAGCAACTGAGCCAGTTGTTGGCCCAGTTGCTCCGCCCGCCCATCTCAGTTGCTCCGCCCGCCCCCCGTCCCCCCTGCGCCTCTGGGGCAGTCTCAGTTGCACCTGGGGTGGTTGCAGTTGCCGCAACAGAACCCAAGCGGCGAAGGGCGTGGAGGAGGGGGAGGAGGCGGAGGAGCGGAACGGGAGAGGAGGAGGAGGAGGAGGAGGAGGAAGAGGAGGTGGAGGAGAGCTATCGGAAGCGAACGGGCGAGAACGCAAATAACATTGATTTTCTATGAGTGTTTGAAAGTTTTTGGCTTCTTGAGCCTCCTTGGGAAGCTTTTTAAACTCCTGGAGCCGTCTCGGGGCGGTCTTGGGCCCTGTTGGAGCGTCTTGGGCTGCAGACTCCGGAGGATGGGTGAGGATATTGGAGTTGCAGGTTTTGGGCCCGGTTGGCTGGGTATCTTTGGAGTGCAGTTTGGTTACAGGTTACAAAGACGTAGCCAGGTTGACTCGAAGACGACGTGCTGCGCCCAGAGATATGCTCTCCTGTTATCTTGCCTGTGGCCCAGACGATGCATGGTTTGTCGTTCTCCCGCGTTTGGCGGTGGACAGGCCGCCTGCCGTTGCGAAGGCTTTTGTGCTCTCCTTTGCCAGTTTCGTCCAGGAGCGTATGTTACCAGCCTCGAACGTATCCCTATCCCTAAGATCGACACGCCAAAAGGCGATGACAATCTTAGGGATTCGCCCTCAAAAGATAAGGAAATCCCTAAGATTGGCATCGTGATGAGGAGGTGCCCAGCATAGGGATAGGGATATGTTCCAGGCTGGTAAGTATGACACGTCCTGGATTGGTAGGCCTTCCAAACGGTGGACAGGCCGCCTGCTGTTGCTGAGGTTTTTGTGCTCTCCTTTGCCAGTTTTGTGTAGGAGCGTCCAAGGCGTACCTTTTCCTGTGCAAGCTCTTCGGCACCGCCTGTACTCCGCACCCTCCGGCCGCCTGAGGCCCCGCCCGCCCGCGCCTTGTCTCCCCAATTAGTGCTTCGCGCGCCCCGCCTAGCTCTTACGTAACCGGAAGAGGCCCGCTCTCGACCCGCCGACCAAAAAAGTTTTGTCCAGGAGCGTATGACACGTCCTGGATTGGTAGACCTGCCAAACAAGAGCACGGTACGGATTTACAGCGGTCAGGGCCAGCTTTAAACGGTCGTTCGCCACACGTTGTCCGTGCGCGTGCGTCCGCTTGCACGTGCACGAGCACGCATGTGATGCACCGTAGGTTCGATCCGCCTACGCATCGAAAGGTACAGATAGGGTTGCACAGCATGCCCGACGTCCTTCAGGTCTTGAGTTCTTTCCTCGCGCGTCCGTATTGCTCTCGCGGTGGGGAGCTTGGGGCGCGACGGGTGTTGTGGTATTGCGTCGGGTCGGGCTCAGGCTGTTTTCCCGTGTATCTTCGTATACTCATTCGTCGTTTGTCCTTTCTGCGCAGCCCTTTTGGGCTCGGCTTGCCCGTCAGGTCAAGCGCCCTGCACTACCTCCGTCCATCTTTTGTTGGTGGATCTCCCGCGCCAGTCCCGACATTCAGAAGATCGATGCAAATAGGAGCGGCCTCTCCGACATCTGGACCCTTCACTGCGTCTGATTTCCCGTGGCCTGTGAGGGCCTAAAGCGATGAAGCATTGGCCGCCTCGATCTGTCTCGAGCCGAGGGGTGTCTGGGCGTGGTGGGAAGAGAACGACTCCTGGACCCGTCTTGGGGTTCATTTTTGGGTCTGGGATTTCAAGGTGGCTCCAGCCGTGGCCACGAGTGCGCGCAAGGACACGCTGCGAGGGAACGCAACAATCGGCAACACATATACGGGGCGCTCCAGAAAGGGCCTTGCCTTCGAGGATCGAAGGAGTGGTCATCTCTTCCGCTGCGGAAGGTGGCGGAAGGGCGATGGAAGTGAAACGAGGCCGCCTCCGCGGGCGGAAGCCGACAGAAGCTCGGCGGAAGGCGGCGGAGGTAAAAAGTGCGTCCCCAAGAGATGAACACGTTTTTGGGTTCAGGGTTTCCGAAATCGAATTTCTTCTTGGAGCCTCGACATTGGTACCGCCCTTTCTGGGAACGCCCATCCGTTGCCACATGATTCCGCCGAACCTCCATGCCTAAATCCTCTCCTGGACCGCGTCTCGGCATGAGTTTCAAGGCGAGTCCAGCCGTGACGAGGAGGATTTCTCCGGGAAACCTTACAGGAGATCCGCCCACTTTGCCGCCCGGCGCTTAGAAGGAGGTGACGCGAGGGAAGCCAGTGGGTGCCTGAGACGGCCACCCTCCTGGCCCCCCCACCCCACCCCAGACGTCCGACGATGTGATTGTTCCAGTGCGCGGCCCAGAGAAGGTCTCAACAACCCCCATCCCAGGGGGCAGGTCTTCGTTCTAAATCCTGGAGATTGGCAGCAACACCAAGAGGGGGGTGCCTTCATCGCAGGAAGACGATCATAGATCATGGTGTTGGTGGTAATCTTTCGTCCGCCCAGGAAGCCCGAATATCACCGCCATGTGCCGATATCGGTTTTGGCGCCAACCCACTAGCCTCCCAACATGAGCCGGCGAATACAGTCAACCCGCATAGCAAGGACGGGCAGCCTTCCCACGGGTACCCGTGCATCCTGGCCTCCTCGGTCCATCCTTGGCCACTTTCGGTGGCCGCGCCCCGCCCTCAACGCTTCGAACCGGCTCTCCGAGGCCCTGGCATCCTCACCCTGCGTCCTTCCGATCCGGGCCGACGGTCGGCGACGAGCCACCGCGGCCAAGCAGAACAGAGAAGCGTCGCACCGTCGGAGCGCTGGGCCTTCTGCGCGCCGCCGCTCCCCGGGCCCCGGCCGCGGGATGGGCGCGCGGGGCGGCCCCGGCGGCCCCCCCTGTCCCAAAATGGCGCCGCGCGCCACCGCCGCACTAATCACCCTGGCCGGCGCCACCGCCGCACTAATAACCCTGGCCGGCGGCGCGCTGCGGGCGGGAGGGCTGCAGCAGTCGCCGCCCGCGCACGAGCCCGCGGCCTGGCGGGCCGCCGAGCGGCCGCGAGGGGAGGCCCTCTCGGCCGCCCTCGGCGGCCGCGTCGGCCAAAGGAGGGAGAGGCACCGAGGCCGCCCCAGTCCCTCGCCTTTTGCCAGGGCCTGCCCTGAGGCCCTCGTCGCCGCGGCGGGATCCTCCTCGAAGTCCTGGTGCGAGCGCACCCCGGGAGAGTTCCACGGAGGGGCCAAGTCGGCGGCCCTTGATGGCCCTTCGGCGGCACGCGGTGGCCTCTGGAGTCGTTCGGCGGCCCTCCTGCTGCTTTCGGCGGCCCGGTCAGCGGCGCGGCGGCGGCGTTGCCTTCGCCGTCGCCGCCGCCGTCGAGGTCGCTGCCGTCGCCATCGCATGTGTCGTCGAAGTCGAACTACTATAACATAGTTAGCACACATACATATATGTATATATACATATATATATATAAGATGTGTATATAAGTGTGTGTGTGTGTGTGCAAACGGATCCGGACGCTCTCGCTTTGAAGTTGGTTACAGCTTGTTTGAAACCGAAGCTCACGCTCGGGGATGGGAAGAGTTTGGAGGCTTCTGCGGTTGGCCTTCGCATCAAGAGATGTTCTTTTGACTTACGTTTCTGGGCATGGTTTGCAGCCGACCATACGACGGGGTGCCGATGCGCCCGTCTAGGCGCGGTTTCTGTGTGTGTGGGATGGGTGGCTGAGAGAAAGAGAGTGAGAGATTGTGGAGTGCCAGCGGGGTGGGAGTGGAAGGTAAGGTCGAAGAAGCAACATCAGCACACGTAAACATAAATGTTCGCATTTCCGCCCAGGTTGTTTGGATCAACGTTACGTCGGGCATGTCCCTCGACAGGAGGAATATTCAGGAACAGTCAAGAAACAGTCTGGTGACGATTTCTTCGGCTTCGTTGACTACTTTTGATTGTTTGTTTGGTTGTTTTGTTCCCGGGCTCCGAGCGGAGCGGAGGGGGAGCAGGGGAGGGGCAGGGGGACCGAGGAGGGGAGCAGGCCCCCTCCTCTCTCCTCCCTGGCACGGGGGGGGCCGCGGGGGAGGACGACGAGCGGCCCCAGGCCACGGTGATGGCCCTGGCCGCGTACGCGCGCTCCTCGGACGTCTCCGGGTTCCCCCTCGCCTTCGTGAACTCCCTGCGCGGCGCGGGCTTCGCCGAGAAGATCATCGTGGGCATGTGGGAGATCGGGGCGATCGAAATGGGCACGGAAAAGCGGGGTGCAGTCGGGGCGCTGAAGAGGGAGCCCTTTTCGTTTGGGAGGGGCTCCGTGTTCCTTGGTTGTTTTACAGTGCTCCTTGGGACTTCCTGAGGTTTTCCATGGGACATCGGAGTTTAATTCTTCACGCTTCGCGTATCCCCACCAGCCCATCTCAAAACAGCAACTCTTGCGAAGCATGCCGACAGTCGTGTTTTTCAGGCGTGTTTCCGCCTGCCCCCGCATATCTCCCCTGTTCCTCCTTCCTCCCGCCTCCTTGTACATCCTCCTTGTGGTGGGAGCGGGAGAAGGACGAGGCGGAGGAGGAGGGAGAGAAAGCGCTCCTCGTGGTTTGAGTCGTTTGGGGTTTCTCGTCCTGGTGTGAGTCGTTCGGGCCCTTCTTCCTGGTGTGAGTCGTTCGGGCTCTTCGTGGTGTGAGTCGTTCGGGCTCTTCGTCCTGGTGTGAGTCGTTCGGGCTTCTCGTGGTGTGAGTTGTTCGGGCCCCTCGTCCTGGTGTGAGTCGTTCGGGCCCCTCCTCCTGGTGTGACTCGTTCGGGCTCCTCGTGGTGTGAGTCGTTCGGGGCCCTCGTCGTGGTGTGAGTCGTTCGGGCTCCTCGTGGTGTGAGTCGTTCGGGCGCCTCGTCCTGGTGTGAGTCGTTCGGGCCCCTCCTTCTGGTGTGAGTCGTTCGGGCTCTTCGTGGTGTGAGTCGTTCGGGCCCCTCGTCCTGGTGTGAGTCGTTCGGGCTCCTCGTGGCGTGAGGCGTTCGGGCACCTCGTCCTGGTGCAAATCGTTCGGGCCCCTCGTAGTAGGAGTAGTCGTAGTAGTAGTAGTAGTCGTAGTAGTAGTAGTAGTCGTAGTCGTAGTCGTAGTCGTAGTCGTAGTCGTAGTCGTAGTCGTAGTCGTAGTCGTAGTCGTAGTCGTAGTCGTAGTCGTAGTCGTAGTCGTAGTCGTAGTAGTAGTAGTAGTAGTAGTAGTAGTAGTAGTAGTAGTAGTAGTAGTAGTAGTAGTAGTAGTAGTAGTAGTAGTAGTAGTAGTAGTAGTAGTAGTAGTAGTAGCAGTAGTAGTAGTAGTAGTAGTAGTAGTAGTAGTAGTAGTAGTAGTAGTAGTAGTAGTAGTAGTAGTAGTAGTAGTAGTAGTAGTAGTAGTAGTAGTAGTAGTAGTAGTAGTAGTAGTAGTAGTAGTAGTAGTAGTAGTAGTAAGTAGTAGTAGTAGTAGTAGTAGTAGTAGTAGTAGTAGTAGTAGTAGTAGTAGTAGTAGTAGTAGTAAAGTAAGTAGTAGTAGTAGTAGTAGTAGTAGTAGTAGTAGTAGTAGTAGTAGTAGTAGTAGTAGTAGTAGTAGTAGTAGTAGTAGTAGTAGTAGTAGTAGTAGTAGTAGTAGTAGTAGTAGTAGTAGTAGTAGTAGTAGTAGTAGTAGTAGTAGTAGTAGTAGTAGTAGTAGTAGTAGTAGTAGTAGTAGTAGTAGTAGTAGTAGTAGTAGTCTTTGGGGAGCCTCTTGGAGGCCTTTTGGGGCGTCTTGGGGGCCTCTTGGCGGCTCCAGGGGCTTCTAGGAGCGTCTTGGGTGCCTTGGGGGAGCCTCTTCGGGCCTCTTGGGAGCCTCTTGGAGGCCGTTTGGGGCGTCTTGGGGGCCTCTTGGCGGCCCCAGGGGCTTCCAGGAGCGTCTAGGGTGCCTCGGGGGAGCCTCTCGGGGCCTCTTGGGGGCCTCTTGGGGGCATCTTGGGGGCCTCTTGGAGGCCTCTTGGGGCCTCTTGGGGCTCTTTGGGAGGGGTCTGGGAGGTATCTTGGGGCCACCTTTCGGGCGATCGATCACAGATGGGGCGAGCACTTTTCTCCCCCCCCCCGTCGGGGCCAGAATCCTCGTGAGGGGTGTCGAATTTTAGCCCTCCCAGGAGTCCAAAAAGACCCCTCCAACGACCCGCGGAACGCCCTCTCTAGGCCCAGGGGGAGGGGGTAGGGGGAGGGGTAAACCCCTCCCCGAAGGGGAAGAAGGGGGGTTGAGAACAGAGAGAGCTCGCTAAACCACTCACGCCCAAAGGGCTGGTGGGACTTACGGGAAGAAGGAGCCTCGTTCCTTATCTGGGGTTCCTTGTGTCAACGCCCCCACCGTACGATGCCCAACAGCAGTTCTTCTTCATTTTGAACAGGACTCGCTGTCCGCGCCGCCACGGACGTTATTCCTGGAAGACAAAAAGCCGCCTGCCCAACAGCGGCCGCTGTGGGTTTGGGACAACATCTGTTGGGCATTGTACCCATTTTCTCCGTAACCATCTCGGGCGTCCAAAGGAGAACACCACGGACCAGACGGACTTCCTGCGGCGGGCGGCGGTGACCCCGAGATACATCCGCCAGGCGCCGTGCCAGCTGCGGTACTCGGAGGATCGGGGGCGGGCTGGCCAAAGAGCTGCTCTCTGGGGGGTGGTCTGGGGCTTCGGTCTCGCCTGGGCGGTCGGCGACTGTTCGTGCTCGGACCTCCCTTGCTTTCTCATTGCCTCTGCCTCCCCTCCGCCTGGTTCTCCCCGTTGGCCTCCTCCGTCCCCCGCTGGTCGTCGGACGGGGGCGCAGAGTCTGAGCAGGCTGCACGGGGGCCTCCCTCCTAGATGTGGAAGGCAGTTCCCAGGAGCCTAGCTTGAGCGGAGTGGCGATAGGGTCCGAATTTGCATTCGGGAGCCCCGCCAGCACCAATTCCAGGAAGTCCTTCTCCCGCTCGTGGGGTGTCGGCCACAGGGTACGGCCCCAGCGCAGTTTCCACGTCGAGGCGTATGCCGCCCCTGCGGGGGGAGTGGTTCTGCGCAGGAGTGTCGGCCTCTGGGTGCGGCTCCGTGTGGTGTCGGCCTCTGGGTACGGCCACGGGCCCAGTCCTCCGCGGGGGGAGGCTGGGCGGGGGTGTCGGCCTCAGGGTGCGGCCCCACAGGGACTTCCTCGGCGCGGCCTTCGCTGGGAAGCCGGAGCGGGCGGACGCGGCTCTGCCGCCGCCGGTGCGGCCGCGCCCGCGCGCACCTGGCGGTGTTTAGGTCAACCGCCTCGCCTCCCGACTTCTGGTGGCCCTGGCCGTCCTGTGAGTCCTCACGGCGGTCAGGGCTTCCTTTGAAGCTGCGCCCACCCATCCTCCTCCTCCTCCTCCCCCCCGTAATTATCCTCCAGTGCCTCAGAGTTCTTACCAGGCTCCCGGCGGCTCAAGATGACAGGTGTGGGCGGTCGGAAAGGCATCGGGGTGGCCCCCCATAAACAAAATCGTATCAGGACGATCTCTCGACTCCAAGCAAGTTCCTAGTCCGCTTCCCGTGTCGTCGCGACCATGCCAGAGCGTCCGCCACCGCCGACACTCGCCGACCGAGGTGGTGAATTGAATGTGTGCGTGCGGCTTGAAGGTAGAGCTTTCTTGGGTCGTCTTGCGGCCTTCCTGGGCCGTTTGTGGGCGGTCTTGCAGGCCCCTTGGGCCGTCTCGGAGCCTCGGAAGCTCGAAATGTCGAGAATCCCCCAAACGCTGAATAACCAAAGGGCAAACACGCCCCCGGCCTCTCGGGGCCATCTTGGGAAGGTTCTTGGGGCTCTCTTGGGGCGTCTCGAATGCTTTTTGGGCCATCTTGAAGATGCCGTGGAGCCACCTTGAGCGTCCTGGACCCATCGTGTAGCGATCCGGGGCATCCTTGGATTATCTGGGCGACCTCTTGGGGGTCTCTTGGCCCGTCGTGGGGCCAGCGTGGCCCCCCAACAAGCCACGCGAAAACGCTCGACGCGCCCCAGAGGGCTCGTGGCGAGCTCCAGCAGATTTGAGAATGTGTGCCCCAGGACCCTAAAAGAGTCCTCAGGATTGGAGACTGGGGCTCAGGTGTTGAGAGGAACCTGGGGGGGCACGCCCCCTTCGTGCCCTAGGGGCACGGTGGCGGACCCGCTTCAAATGCAATTTGCGCTTTCCGCTTCCAGACCACGATCCAGACCAGGGCTGGAGCTGAACGGTGTTTTTGGTGATGTCGTGGGCCGTTTTCGTTTCGACTTCGTTTTGCAGCAAAGGCGGATTGGAGACGAAAGCGAGGAAAAACTAAAACGATACGAAAACGAAAAACACAGTCTAGGTTCAGCCCTGATCCAGACTATTTGTTTAAACTTGGGGTGTCACTGTACGCGTTCAGATAACGCCCATGCTTTTTCTGGTCACGCTCAATGCGTGTTAGTTTCAGTCAGCTGATGGAGCCAGCAGTGTTCGGGGTTCATGGCGTCAGTCGCGTATCAGGTCATCACACATATTTCCAGCCAGTGCGTTAGCGAGTCGTGGCTTCGTTTTGTTGCACATCGCCTAGTGATATGTAGGTGTTGCGCTGTACAGGCGACAAGGTCGGATGTTAGTTAGCGATGCGCTTCACCAAGCGAGTCTAGGACTACCAGGCTTCCAACACAGCTCGAGGAATGCGTTACAAACTAGAGGGCCTCTAACGCATCCGAGGCTCCCATGCTCCACGTGGTATGTCCACCTATGTCCGCCTTGAGCCAGGATGGCGATGGGCGCCCTTCGGAGTCACAGAGGCCACATGAGATTGGGCGCAGCTTTTGGGACGTATTGTTGAGCTGGCATTTCTCGAGGCGCCCCCCGATCTGCAACGCGGCAGCATTCTGTGGGGGGGCGATTGGTGCAGAGGCCGATTCTTACTGGAGGAAGTGCCCGTACATCGCGAGCCCAGGGCTATATAATCTCATTCGGCCCGCTCTTGGCCTGGGCTCTAGTGTTTCATCGCGTTTGCCCCCAGGGAGGAGGGGGACAGGTGGAGGAGCAGGAGGGGACGAGGTTCAGCAGGAGGGGGGGCAGCGTGGAACGATGCAGTGTTCTCGCACGTGCAGCTGGCTCGGAGAGATAAGGTTCTGCTCAGCCGCTGCGACATGTAGGCGGTAGGTCGTCTGTCGGAATTCGGGGGTAATGGGCCGGAAATGCATGTGCACGTGTGGCTTCAGAATGCCGTGCGTTTTTTCGTTCAATTCTGCCCATCGACACTGTTGCAAGAGTTTGGGCTTCCCAGCCCGAGAACCCATCGAACACTTCCAGAAGTCCAATCCGGCGATAACAGAATGCCCCCACGCGCGTCCACGCTGCCCCCGCACGGTGCCGCCAAGACGCCAGGCCCCCGCCTCGGGCTACGTCACCCGCAACGTCTGCACGGAGGACTTCCCCCACCTCAAGCTGGACAACGCCCGGTGGGTCTACGGCCTCCGATGGCTCGAGGCGCCTGGGGGCTTCTGCTCGAGAGCACGGGGGCAAGCGCCGAGGGGGGTTCGGTACTGTCGTCGGCTGCAGCTGCTCGCGCGAGGCGAGCAAGAGCAAGAGAGGGGAGGAGAAGGAGGAGGAGGAGGAGGAGGAGGAGGAGCAGGCGGAGCAGGAGGAGCAGGAGGAGGAGGAGGAGGAGGAGGAGGAGGAGGAGGAGGAGGAGGAGGAGGAGGAGGAGGAGGAGGAGAGAGGGCCGTCTTGGGGCACCCTTGGGAGCCTCGGGGGCCCTCTTGAGGCCATCTTGGAGGAGGTCGATTAAAGGACGGGCGGTACTCAATTAGGGTCCCCCCCCATGAGGCCAACATGTTGCCAAAACAAGAAAATAGTAGCATCAATGATCAATGAGTTTGGCCTTCTCGCCGCGCCTCTTGGGGCGTCTTGGGTGACTCTTCGGGCCATCTTCGGGGTTCGGTTGGGAGGCTATTGGGGGCATCCTGGGAGCCTCTCGGTGGGCTCTTGGGGCCTCCTGGGCACCTCTAGGGGCCGTCTTGGGGCACCGTTGGGAGACTCGGGGGGCCATCTAGGAGGAGATTGATCAAGGAACGGGCCGTGCAAAATTAGGGTTCACCCTCACAGGAGACCAACATGCGTTCAGCACCAACGTCAGACCAATGATTTTGGTTTCCTCGTCGAGGCTATCTTGCACGCTCCGACCCCTCGCGAAACCTTCCCTCCAGTTCCAGGGGGAAGGGGAAACATATACGGGGAGGGGTAAACCACCCCTCCCCGAAAGGGAAGAGGAGATGTACGAGGGAACTCCCTGAACCACTCGCGCCCTGAAGGGCTGGTGAGATTGAGGCTTTCTTGGGGCCCTCTTATGACCCTCTTGCGGTCATTTTTCCCCAATTCGGTTTGCCTAAGGGCCTAAGGGGTTCTTCATTGGTTGGAGGTGGGTGCCTCGGGAGGCTACTCTGCCCGCTCCTCGAAATTTCCCTGGGTTCCTCGGGTTGCCAGGGTTCCTCGCCCTCGGTGCCTCCTCCGATTCTTACGTTGCCCGTTCCGGGTTCCTCGGGTTCTTCGCCCCTGGTGTTTTGTATTGTCACGTTGCTTGTTCCTCCGAGGTTCTTCGGGTTCCCCGGTTTCCTCGGGTTACCCGCCCTGGTTGTTGGTTCTGTTTCCCAGCAGTGCCAGGTAACGCCAGGCATCGTCAAGCAACGCCAAGCAACGCCAAGCAGTGCCACGCCGTGCACAGCAACGCCAAGCAATGCCAAGCAACGCCAAGCAATGCCAAGCAATGCCAAGCAACGCCAAGCAATGCCAAGCATCGCCAAGACATGCCAGCAATGCCAAGCAACGCCAAGCAATGCCACGTAACGCCAAGCAATGCCAATCCGTGCAAAGCAAGGCCAAGCAACGCCAAGCAACGCCAACCTATGCCAAGCAACGCCAAGCAATGCAAAACAATGCCAAGCAATGCCACCCAACACCACGCAGCGCCAAGCAATGCCAAGCGATGCAAAGCCATGCCAAGTAACGCCAAGTAATGCAAAGTAATGCCAAGCAATGGCAAGCAATGCAATGCATTGCACAGCAAATAATTTCAACGCCAAGCAATTCTAAGCAACGCCGCTTTGGAAGCGTTCCCCTCACTGGGGTCGCGCCGGGTTCACTGGAGGCCGTTGGGGCAATCTTGGGGCTCTCACGAGTCCCATCTTGGAGTGGAGGCCTTGGTGGAATAGTGAAGGACATCTGTCGAAGATGAGGGGTTCTCAGTCCCCCCCCCTCGGAGGCCGAACCATTGCCTCTTAGGGCCAATCCCTGGGCGCTCTGGCGCTCCTGGGACGCCCTGGGGCGCTCTCTGGGCCTGCTTCAGCCCCTGTCGGATTCCTCTGGGGCTATCTCGTAGCTGCTGCATTCAAGTCGGGCCTGTCCCTCTACAGGAGGAATGTTCAAGAATATGTTTCAACATAGTCAGGAAACTATTTTTTTATTAGTTGTTTGATTATATAGTTTGAGCATTCTTAGTTTGTTCTTCCCAAGATCCGCCTGTAGGAGGACATGCCCGACATAAAGCTATACTGAGACCGCAAGGGCTCATCGGAAGCGGAAAGGCGGCAATACCAACGAACATTGCCCACAGCCGCAGTGGTTTGCCCTAAAGGGCTTGCTGTTTTTTTCTGCAATTGTCCTCTCTAATCCTCTCCTCCACTCCGCCTTCCTTCTCCTCCACCTGCTCCTCTTCATCATCATCACTTCCCTCCTCCTCGCGAGGAGTGAGGGGAGTGAGGAGGAGGAGGAGGAGGAGGAGGTGGAGGAGAAGGAGGAGGAGGAGGAGGGGGAGGAGGAGGAGGAGGAGGAGGAGGAGGAGGAGGAGGAGGGAGGAGTGACGAGGAGGAGGACAGTCGGAGACTCCTCACGCCATCAGAAATCAAGAGGAGGAGGAGGAAGAGGAGGAGCAGGACGACGACGAGAAGAATGAGGAGTGAGGGGGAGTAGAGGGAGGAGGAGGATGGCGCTGGAGCACCAAAACAACAGAAGGAACACGAAATACGACCACAGAAACCGAACTGTTGGCGGCAGAAGCTTTGGGAACACAATGTTGGAAACAAGAGCCAACAACATGTCGACACATAGTGTGGGGTTTCCCTTCGGACGAGTCCCTCCAGACGGGCTCCCCTGGGAGTTGTGCTTGTGTGGTTCCTAACGTTTCTTCCGCCAATACTTCAGTCCCTTTGTGCTCAGTATTTTTCCTGATTATCCTTCTTCTATTTTTCGTCCCCCCCATCCAATACAAGTTTTGAGTAGGGCAGCCCAAATAATAGACACGCAGACAATGCAGAAAACGTAAAGTACGCACACACACACACACGAACAGAGAGAGAGAGAGAGAGAGAGACAGAGAGTTAGAGAGAGAGAGAGAGACTGAGCGAGAGAGATAGAGAGAGAGAGCAACAATAACGCAGAGCACGCAACAACAATAATGAGACGGAGAGGGGCAGGAGGGGGGGAGACGAAGAGGAGGAACCGCATTCGTCTGGGTAAAACCGCGGCTGGCCGACATATTGATTTGCCTTTGGTGTTGAGGAGGTCCGTGGTGGCCACTTGGAGCTGTCTTGGGGCGGTCTTGGGGCATCTTGGAGGCATGCTGGAAGTTATCTTGAACCATTTCGCGGGATAACTTGGGCGATCGTGGAGGCCACCATGGGCTATCAAGGGCCCTCCTGGGGCCATCTTGGAGCCTCCAACGACCCGCGACACGCCCCCATCCAGAACCAGGGGGAGGGGGTATGGGGGAGAGATAGATCTCTCACCATGAGGGGAAGAAGGGCATTGGACTAACCAGCTTGCTACACCACCTAAGCTCAAAAGGCTGGTGGGACGCGCTGGAAGGATGCAAGAGTCGGGATCCCGCAAAGGGGGGATCGGTTTTCACCGAACCGCCCAAAACAGATGCCCCCCCAGCCGCCGGCAGCTCCTGATAGTTGCCGATAGGTGAGGCATGCGAGGGGCTTCTGTCTTCTGTTTGCGGCAGTTCGGTGCAGAACTGATCGAACTCACGCCCAGGGGAACGGATAATGACATAAACATAAAAACTTTGAGGTCCGCGAGGATTTCTTGGATCGGCGCTGGACCCGATCCGTGGCGCGCGGAGCGCGCCAGGGGCGGCGCCGGAGGTGCCTCCAGTGGGGTCCGGCGCGGATCCGAGAAATCCCCGCGGACCTTCGAGTTTTCATGTTTATGCAATTTTTCGTCACCCCCCCCATTTGGTGAATCCCGAAAGAAGCTCCTTGTCAAAGCGGGGCTCTCGCTTGAACATGGCAGGCCCGTAAGACAGGGGGGGGGCGCTCGCCTTTCGAGGGGGAGCGCTTTCCCACAGTGCAGCCGGAAGGCCTGCGGGGGGACTTCTCCGAGGGGGGGCTTCAGGACGGAGGGCGCATTGCAGCCTCGTTGGTGCCTCCCGGGTGGTACGCTGTTCCTCTTCCTTGCCCTTCGAAGAAAAAGCACGACGTAAACACAGAGTTTTGGCGCTCCGCACGGATTTCCTGGATCCGCGCCGGGGCCCCCCCGCGGCGCCTCCGGCGCAGGTCCAGCGCAGGTCCAAGGAATCCGCGCGGAGCGCCACAAGTTTCTGTTTCTGTTTTTGTCTTTTTCTCCCGTATGGCGGGCCAGCTCCTCCAGAGGCGTTCCGCCTCGTGGGTTGACGCTGGTCCTCCTCCCTCCCCTCCGCCCCCCCCCGTTCTGACCCGCCCCTTCCTCGTACTCCTGGGGCTTCCCTCGTCCTGCCCCTTCTCCCTCCTCCCTCTCCCACTGCTCCCTCCCCGCCAGGAGTGCCCCACCTGCAGCGACTGGGTCATGTACGCGGACTTCGGGGACATCCCCCGGGGGGTGGGCGGCGAACGAGCGCCCTCACGGAGGGGGGAAGCTTCCATCATGTTCCTCGATGGCGGCAAGCAGCATCAATACAGACGTGGTCTTGGAGAAAAGGGTTTCTCAGATGCCGTACCGCCTTTCGCTCGGTCCCGCGTTCGAAATTTAACGAAAACGTAAGCATACCGGGTATCTTGGTCCTTGAGTCGGTGTTGATTTTTTGCCCGGGATCGTGTTTTGGGGTTTGGGCAGGTGGCATAATGATGATGATGATGATGGTGATGATGATGATGATGATGATGATGATGATGATGATGATGATGATGACGATGATGATGATGATGATGGTGATGATGATGATGACCATGATGATGATGTTGATGATGTTGATGAGGATGAAGTCGATGAAGCTGATGAAGCTGATGCTGATGCTGATGATCATGATCATGATCATGATGATGATTGTGCCGACGATGACGATGACGATGACGATGGCGACGATCATGACGATGCCGATGACGACGATGACGATGCAGATGACGATGACGACGTCGATGACGATGCTGATGACGTTGACGGCAAGGATGATGATCATGATGTTGATGATGATTATGTTGATGATGATGATGATGATGATGATGATGATGATGATGACGATGACGACGACGACGATGCGGATTATGATAATCATGATGTTGCTGATGATGTCGATGATGATGTTGATGTTGATGATGTGGGTAGTGAGGACGTGGTTGAGGATGAGGACGATGATGATCATGATGATGAAGACGATGATACGGATAATGATGATTATGGGGATGCTGCTGCTTCTGATGATGATGGTGGTGATGATGAGGACCATGATGTTGATGATGATGACAATGACGGTGATGATGATGATGATGATGATGATGATGATGATGATGGTAATGACAATGACGATAATTATGATGACGATGATGATGATGCTGATGATGATGATAATGTTGATGATGATGATGGTGATGATGATGATGGTACTGACGTTTATCACTATGACGACATCAACGACGACGATGATGCTGATGATGATGATGATGATGATTATGGTGGTTGTGAAGGTGACGGTAAAGGTGACGAGTATGATGATGACGATGATGATGTTGTTGATGATGATGGTGCTGCTGCTGATGATGATGATGATGATGATGATGATGATGATGATGATGATGATGATGATGATGATGATGATGATGATGATGATGATGATGATGATGATAATGCTGAAGATGAGGAGGAGGAGGAGGAGGAGGAGCCGAAGGAGGAGGAGGAGGAGGAGGAGGAGCCGGAGCAGAAGGAAACGCTCCGCCGCGCCTCCCCACCCCATGGAGGCCGTCGGCCTCTCGGGTACTGGGTTCGGGGGTGGGGGGAAGGGGCGGTTGGGACCCGCCCCTTCTCGCCTGCACTCCCCATGCCCTTCACCTTCCCTCCTGGCGATCTCGCCTCGGCCCGCTTCTGGCGCCTCCCCTCGCCGCCGCCTTCCCCTTTCATCTTCGATCCACCCGCTCTTCCCCCCCCCTTCCCCTTTCAATTACACAATATGAATACTACTCTCCTCTCTCCCCTGATAGCGTCCAGAAGATATTCGGCCCCCCTCCGCGTACTGTTTTTTTACACCGGATTCCTGGAAGTTTGGTTTTCGCTGAGTTTTATTCAAAATGCTGCTCCCGCTGAAGCGCTGGCCTCATTTCCGCGCTTCCGTTCGTTCCGAATCGTGCTCCCGCTGCAGCGTTGGCGTCATTATTTCCAGTGCAATGCCACGGCATGCAATGCAATGCTATATGATGCCATGCCTTCAGCTGCAATGCTTGGATATGCCGTACTTGACTACGCAGTGCCGCGCCTTGCTATGCCATGCTATGTTTTGATCTTCAACGCTATGCTATGTTATGTTCTGTTATGTGCCGCTGTGCGATGCCATTCTTTGCGTTGCAATGCTTTGTGCTGCAATTCTTCACTACGCAGCGCCACGCCATGCTATGACATACTACGCTCTGCCAGGCTCGTCCGCGCCCTGCCATGCCGTGCTCTACGATGCATCGCGCACCCACTCAGGATCATTGCCTTGCTCGACATCCGACTGCGCGAATAGAGAGGAGATCTACGCCATGGTGAGGGATGCGAGGGAGGTGTAGGACGTCGGATATGACGCGAGCGCACCTAGCTTGCCTCACTCCCCCTCCCCCTCCCTCCCCGTCCCCCTTCCCCCCCCCCCTCCGCTCCTCCTCGGGCCCCCCCCCTCCCCTGCTCCCTCCCCCCCCCCAGCCCCCCCCTCCGGTGCGCCCCGCCGCCGCCGGCCCCCCTGGGGCCCCCCGTCAACTTCCAGCAGAACCCCTTCGACCTCCTGCCGCGCGCGGACTCGGTCGCCCCCGAGACGGTCTACCTGACCGAGGATCAGAGGAGGAAACAGGCACCCCTACCAGGGGCGGACCTAAACGGTGTTTGGGCCATTTCGTGGGCCGGTTTCGTTTCGATTTCGCTCTGCGTCAAGGGCGGATTGGAGACAAAACGAGGGAAAGCGAAAACGACACGGAAACGAAAAACACCGTTTAGGTTCAGCCCTGACCCATACCGCCTCACGTAAGCTGGAAAAAGTGGCTGGGGCCAGCCCTTCCACTCTTCCCCAGCCTTGGCCAGTTCCCTGTCGTGTTTGTCCAGCCTTGGCGACCGCATGCCTACTGTTTCGGGCTCGCTTCGCCCACTGCCAGTCGTTCCAGCCCTGGCCACTTCACCTTCACCGATTTTCCAACTTTTTTCCCTACATAGGCTCTTCCTAGAAGGGTTCTTACTCTCTTAGCTTAAAGGGCCGGGCAGTGGACCACGCCCTGGGCGGTTCCCCCAGTCCCCTGCGAGCGGTTCCCCCAGTCCCCTGAGAGCTTTAGCTTTAGCTGTAGCTTTAGCTTAGCTTTAGCTTAGCTGTAGCTTAGCTTCAGCTTAGCTTTAGCTTAGCTTTAGCTTAGCTTTAGCTTAGCTTTAGCTTAGCTTTAGCTTGGCTTTAGCTTAGCGGCACCTTAGCTTTAGCTTAGCTTTAGCTTAGCTTTAGCTTTAGCTTAGCTTTAGCTTAGCTTCAGCTTAGCCTTAGCTTAGCTTCAGCTTAGCTTCAGCTTAGCTTTAGCTTAGCTTTAGCTTAGCTGTACCTTAGCTGTACCTTAGCTTTAGCTTAGCTTTAGCTTAGCTTTAGCTTGGCTTTAGCTTAGCTGCACCTTAGCTTTAGCTTAGGTTTAGCTTAGCTGCACCTTAGCTTAGCTTAGCTGCACCTTAGCTTAGCTTTAGCTTAGCTTTAGCTTAGGTTTACCTTAGCTTTAGCTTAGCCTTTACCGTAGCTTTAGCTTAGCTTTAGCTTAGCTTTAGTTTAGTTTTAACTTAGCTTTAGCTTAGCTCTAGCTTTACTGTTCGTACTAATGCTGGTTTCCTAGGGGCTCCAACTCCTATGTAGGGTCGCACTGGGATAATTGTTTCCCGCTTCCCTGCACCCGTACTGCTACCCTCTCCTCGTTTTCTCCTTTTAGGGCCTCTTGGGCTTCCGTCGTCGCCACCGCCGGATTCGCCTCGAAATCTTGGTCAGAAGGCACCCCGGGAGAGGTCCGGGGAGAGGCGGTATTCGGTACCTTGTGGCTACCCCCGAGGAGATGCGGCCCCGCACCGACGGGCACGGCAGGCTGCGGGGCGTCAGCACCAGCACCTGGCTGGTCCAGCCGGCCAGGGCCTCAGACGGCTGCCAGCCGGGGGAGGGCTGGCGCAGTCGCCCTTCGCACGAGCCTCGCCCGCTGGGACTCCTGGGCCCCGGGCACTCCTCCTCCTCCTCCTCCTCCTCCGCCTCCTCCTCCTCCTCCGCCTCCTCCTCCTCCTCCTCCTCCTCCTCCTCCTCCTCCTCCTCCTCCTCCTCCTCCCCTTACTCCTCGGTGTTCCCCTCGATATCCCTCCTTTTGGTTGTCGTGGTTCTGGATTTGGACGCCCCATGGTCCTCAAGGTCCGCGCGGCAAAGCGACATCCTTTTGTTGCCATGGATCCCCGCCGAAGCCTTCGGCATCTGCGCAGGCTTTTGCGATCCCGCCGACGCGCCGCATGGGCGGACAGGCCCAGCTAACAACCTCATCTTGCCGGATGGCTGACTGACCCTGCTGAGCTCACAATCTCGACCAGTCGGGTGGCCAACAGCATGGGACGTCGCGTTCGTTTTGCATCGTTGTTAGTTGTCACGTTTAGTCTCGTTCGTATGCCGTGGCTCGTGGCTATTTGATACCATTTCGCTTTCGTTTGTGGTGGTCTTGCTCGGTCATGTACGTCGCGCGCATGGGACATACTATTAAGGAGACAGGGGACTTTGGGGGGGCGGACTGCTGATTCAGTCAGTGACTGTAGAATGTTTGCATCATGTTGCCTCATCGTGCAACGTAGGACGCAGGATGTCGATTGACGGGGCAGGTCTACCTTTACGCCTGCTGCTTCTAAACAGTCGCCCTTGCGCCTGTTTTTCCAGGCAGGTGTGGCGGCCGGATTCGTGTCACGCATATTCAGTCGCGAAGTGGTGTTGGTCCCATGTGTTCCCATGCCCCGCGCGGTTTTCGAATGCTGTTAAGCATGGCGCGTGGTCGCAGGTCGTGTCATTTCAGGTCGGTGGTCGCTGTGGTTATGTTCATTGCTGTTTTCCCTGCCCAGCGTGACGCTGCGACGCCTGTCTTGGCAGCTTACTTGTGGACTGCATCAGTTTGCCGTCGTATTGTTTCCATCGTGTTCTGATGTCGTGCGCCGTGGCGCCAGTTCTTTGGAGCCCGTCGTTTCTACGAGTGTTTGCTCCGAGGGCTCAGCGCGGCGTCTGTCCTGCCTGATGGGTCGTGGCATGCTCATGATACTCGGTATTACCAGGTTGTGCCGTTTCTTCAGCGGTTGTGCTCGGATTTCGTCTTGGCCGGCCCAACGCGACATCGCGACGTCTGCCGTCCGTGGCCTGCCTGTATGTATGGCGTGGATGCAGGATCTGTTATTTAGACGCGTGATGACAAATGTTATGCATGTAGTTATATCAGTAGACGCGCTAATGGTGTGTTAGCTAACAGCGAAGTAGGAAACCAATTGTAGGACGGCGTGGTTCGTGGACAAACCAATTGTAGGCACGCGTGGTTCGTGCTTTCCGACAATTCGCTGCGTCGTTTTCGCTCGATACATTTGCACATTTGAAATGTAAGGAACGGTGTCTCGTAAGCTCCTACATTTTGGTCTGCGCGAGCTCGGCGTCACAAACATCGGATTCCCAATCGCACCGTTAACCAAGCACGCCGTTGGCGCGGCCTTGGTAGATGCTATCAATCCCTCAGGCTGTGTGGGGTTATGTGCAGCCGTGCCTGCTTTTTGATACTTGCGCCCACTTGGTTTGTACTGGGCCGCCCTGACGCCATGACGAGTGTCCTTGATGCGTAACGTTGGGATGCACACATGACAGATTCTTGTTGTCAGTCATGTGTAATATGTTTGCCAGCGTCGGCCGCAACATTCATCTACCGCACAGTGGATGCGCAAGCTACGTGGCGCAGGGTATGTGGTAACGTCCACGCGGCGCAAGCCATGCGGCGCAGTCAGTGTGGTGCACGCTCTGGGCTACAACCGATGAGGTGCAATCTACGAGATGCCCACGCGGCGCCTACGGGCGGGCACCAGCCGAAGCTTCGGCACGCACGCGCACACCACCACACACGCGCACACCGGCCAGGAGACGTCAACGCAGCGACTGCCCGAACCGGTGGAAAGCCCTCGCAGCGTGCGAGGTGCCCACGAGGCCTCCACGCGGCGCCCACGGGCGGGCACCGCGCGAGACCTCGGCGCACCCACCGAGGCGCCTACTGGGCGTGCGCCGGGCGAAGCCTCGGCACGCCCTCCCAGCGCACGGAGCGCTCACGAGCGCTCGCCCGCGGGGGGGGCACCGGGCGAGGCCTTGGCGCACACGCCTCGCACGAGACGCCCACGGGCACCCGCCATCCTGACACCAGCCAAAGCCCGGCACACCCAACCGTTTTAAGTGACGCGAGAACAGGGGAACGAAAAATGGCATAAACATAAAGACTCGGAGGTCCGCGCGGATTTCTTGGATCCGCGCTGGAGACCCCTAGCGGCGCCTCCGGCGCCGCCCCTGGCGCGCTCCGCGCGCCAGGGAGGGGGGTCCAGCGCGGATCCAAGAAATCCGTGCGGACCTCAGAGTTTTTATGTTTATGTCATTTGTCGTTCCCCTACAGAAGAATATTGTAAGAGCAACCGCTGTTAGCATGCTCTTCGTTTTCGGACGCGGCGTCTGCCATTCCTGAGGCAGTCCTTGCCGCGTCTGGTTCTCCTCGGGCCGGCGTGACATCGTCACGTTTGCTGTCTCGGATTGGCCTTGCAATTTGTCCACCATTTTGTCTTGTCCAGCTGTCTGCCACATCTTACTCGGTGGCAGCTGCGCTTGACTATCCAGGACCGCGTCGAGACGCCCGCCGTGTCTTTTTCGTAGCCGTTTGCATTGTATCGGAGCTTTTTTTCACGCGTGAATTATTTGTGTATGTTTGTGTTTGTTTCTTATTTCTCCATCAGTGCATCTGGTAACCATGCCAAGTCTGCGAACGCGTTGCTTCCACTTCGGTTGTTTTTACATGTTTGGTCAGTCTGGTGAGTAGCTGCACGGTGCACGTAATCGTAACACGTGCATGTTGGTTATTATGTTTGAATTGTGTACGCATGAGTTGTATGATTGTTGTGCGTGTCTATTGGGCACGAGTTCTGTACATGCTATGTTAGGTTGTCGGGGTAAGCAGGGATGTTTTGTATGCTGGATTGTGCGTTGTTGGTGTGTAATGTTCGTGCCTTGATGCCTGATGTGTACGTGCGCTCACTACCGTAATCCGTGGAGGACGCAACGCGGGGCACCCAGGGATCACCAGGATATTTAGGGCCTGGCGTCCGCGGTATGCTGTTCATATTTGTTCATGGATCGAGGACGCGAGTCTTTCCGCAAGATAGAAGAACCCCAACCTCTCGGGTGGGAGAGACGTTCCCCCTGACGATACTCCCTCCTCCTCTCCTGCAGGACTCCGATGGCTCGTTTTGCCCAGGGACCAATTGCGCATCATCCCGAGTCGGTTCTTTGGGCTGGTCAGGGCCCCTGCAATCCGAAGGCCGCAAACATTTCCTGTCGTCGTTGTTTGTTTCACGATGTGATTAGCTCTAGGTACGCCTCTACCCTCCTGACCGCTTGGCACCCTTTCCCCGCCCAGCCTGTCTCCTTACCTTGCAGTCCCCGTTCCCCCTTCTGCTCAGCATCCTGCCCCCGCACCGCAAGACTGAACGTGATTCGCTGAGTTGGTTTTACTGTTGCTTGCGTGAGAGAGCCGTAACACGTGACCTGTTCTTCCACATCGTATCGGGGTGTTTGTCCTTGTTCTCGTCATCGTTTTCCACCTCCCTCTCCTTTTGCCCTGCCTTCCCCTCTTTCGCCCCCTCTTCCTTCTACTCGTCGTGTCCTTCTTGTGACTCGCATGTGGCCCTCTTTGAACCATGTTTTGGGCTTGTCTTAGGGTCCGGTCGGGTTGTCTTGATCGGGGCCAGTTGGGGCGCTCTCGGGCCGTCTCAGAGCCCTCCGGGGCTCTCTGGTACCATCTTGGGCCCCTGGTGGCAGTCAAGAGAGTCTCCCGGTGTCGTTTTGGGCCTTCCCCGCCTCCCTGGCAGTTTCCCTGCACTGTCTGGAGGTCATACGGCTTGGGTGCGCCTCGTGCGGGACGAGAGGTCTTGCGGTCACGCCCCGGCATTTGACTTGTGGGTGTCCGCTCCAGGAAAAAGTGGCTGATGTGAGAAACGCTCGGATTCTTTCGTCTATCCGCCCCGGGGGGGCCGATGGGCCCAACGCGTGAGACATCTGTGAAGTTGCAGGAGTTGATAAGGACTTCGAGGAAGGAGTTGCCTCGGGTGCTCGGCGTTCTTGGAGCGTCTGCGCGCGCGCGTGCGCATCGGGGCGCGCGCGCATGCACGCAACCGTGCGCGCGCGGCGCGAAGGGTTACGGGGCAGTGTGCGCCCTGAGTGCTGGTGCATTCCTGGGTGTCGCCGTGTGCGCGCGGGCGTCGAGCGTCGGTGGGTGCACTTCGGGAGCGACGTGCCCCCTTGGAGGGTCCGTGGCTCCAAGCATGTGGCCGTTTGTGTAGGACGGGGTGCGAGTAAGTGCTTGCGCTGCGCGCAGCGCAGGGTGAACCGAAAGTGAGCACGAAACGTGTCTCGATAGGTTCGAAATCCCGCCCGTCCTGGATGATTCTGGGAGTTTGCGCTGGCGCTGACGTTTCTCCCTCCCCTCTGCCCAGTGAGGCCGTCACGAAGTGCTTCGGCCAGCTGCCCGGCCTGGAGATCGCTGGGGGAGGCCCGCGGGCCTGTTCCCGAGGCCATAGGCGCGGCGTCTTTGATCGAGGGGAGACATTCCGACGCGGGGATTTGTCCGTCACCACCGCCTGGGGGAAATCGATCTTCGCGGACCTCGGCAGGCGGTCAGACGGTGTGGGCGAAGCAACATCCATATCTGCCGCCCGCTGGGGTCCCACGACGTCGGTTCCCAAGGCGGTTGATGTTTATAACACCTCGCCTCGCAGACATGATGGCTATGACCGAGATGCCGTGGGATCCTGCCGACGCCGATCCTGGTCGTGGTCGATGCCGGCCGTCGCCGACTCGCGAGGATATCCACGATCTGGCGTTGACCTGGATGGAGGCTTACAACGATCGGAACATATGACCATGACCACGATGCCGCAGAGTCCTGCCGACGCCGAGCTTTGGGCACAGCCCAGGCGGGCCGCCGCCGACTCGCGAGGATGATCCACGAGTTGGCGCTGACCAAGATGGAGGGCCAAGGTCGGCAACGACTCCTCGGCGTTCCATCTTGGCCATGGGCCCCGCTCTCCCGCCCCTCTGCGTGGGGGGGTGTCGCCGCGCGGCCTCCGGGCGCGCCTCCGCGAGGGACGCCGTCGTGCTTCGGGGGCGATTCCCAGACCTAGTTGTCGGATCCATGTCTGTCAGGAGCGGAGAAAACACACAGACACAATTTGTCGTCGATTCCCTAGAAAATATGGGAAAGTATGGGAAGTGGGGGGGGGAAGGCAAAAACACAGAAAATATAGAAAGATATGGGGAATCCTGCTGTTTGTGTGTATTTATTTGTGTGTCCCAGGGCCCCTTCAGTCTGACGGCACCGGGGCCCGAGAATGGCCTCCGGAGACCGAGATTAAGGAAAACCGACGAGATCGAACGAAGCAATCCGCCCGACGTCCGGAGAAGCATCTTACGCCCCGGCCTCGCAGATATGACCGCCGGCCTTCCCCCAGACGTCGGCGGGAAGCCCATGCTCAACATCGCCTCCACCTTCGGCACCCGCGCCGGCATGCTTCGCTGGCTCGGGAGGCTGGCCGAGGAGTTCGAGAACATCTCGCACAGGATAGAGTGCGACCCTGTAGTCATCTCGAAGAGCGAAACAACGGGCACCTAGAGAAACTTTCAAAGGTCCGTGCGGATTTCTTGGATCGACGCTGGATCCCCCTCTCGGCGTCTCTGGCGCCGCGCCTGTGTGCCCAGCGCCGCCTCAAGAAATCCACGTGGAAGTCCGAATGTGTATGTGTATGCAGCTGTTCGTTCTTCAACTATCTGCGACCAGGGCGTTTTGAACCATTTGTTCTACAACGAGAAAGCCATGCCTTACGCGACGCCGATGAAGTACGGCGAGTGGATTGTCAACACCATGGGCATGCCGTGTTCCAACGCGCCCGGATACGAGCCAGGCAGTTCTATGCGTGATTTGGTGATCATTGATTCTGCAGGGCTTGTGTGGAACGAGGATGGTACACTGCCAGCGGTCATCCACCAGGGCAAGGTCTGCTGGGAGAACTACATCATCCCCCACGTCGTCGATAATTTTAGCGGGACTGGCAACTCAAGCACCTACGCTGCGACACTCTCGAAAATGCGCAGAAGTGCGGCGTTTCCAGGCTGA